AAGCCCTACAGACATGCCCACAGATGTCCTCTTCAGGTGACTCTAGAGTGTCACGTAGACAGTTAGAGTTACCTAGGGAGGATATAATGCTGAACCGGTGCTAAGAAAGCCTCCCAGGTGAAACTAAGGCAGTGCAGTTCTGTAACGCGGCTTCCTGCCAGGCTGACTGGGGTCAGGAGTTCTGGAGCAGGAATGACCATTTAGAGCAGAGGTCTCCAACCTTTTGACATCACCACAATGTCATCTTTGAGTGTGGCAGGCTATTCTGGAATGCGTGTGGCCCAGGAGCCAGAGATTAGATACACATTTGATATAAAGATAGAGTCTTGTTCACCCTCAAGGTATACACAGTGAGCATAAATCCTTCCCAGAACATTCCCCTGTCTCTTCAAGTTTCCCATTGAACTGTAGAAGACGTTTGAGTTTGTGTTTCTCAAAGACGTCCTCAAAGCATGCAGTGACTGTTGGCAAAGCGGGACATCTGCTAATCATCTGGGTGCTGCGTGTGGCTCACCGAGTGCCCTCTGTCGAGGACAGTCTCTTCCCCTGCTCTTGCCTTCCCCTCCCATTTGTGTCCAGTTGAACCTCAGCTCCTTGGCCTTCACCTCATCTTTCTACTTTAACTTTTGAGAAGATTTATTGATCTTTATTTTATGTATGAATGTTTTGCCTGGGTTTATGTATGTATGGCATATGTGCACAGTGCCTGCAGAGGTCAGAAGAGGGCGTTAGAGCCTCTGAAGCTGGAGTTACAGAGAGTTGCCATCTACCATGTGGGGTCCAAGAACCAAATTCAGGTTGTCTGCAAGAGCAGCCAGGGTTCTTAACCCCTAGGCCATCTCTCTAGCCTCAGGTTCCTGTTTTAATATCCAGTGTGCTGGTCCACTGCCAGACAGTCCCTTCACATCCCTGGCGCTTTCCTTCCCCTTCCCACCCTTCAGAAAGTCTCTCCACCCACTGAGCAAGATCAAAGTCTATCTCTCCGCAGTTCTACCTCTCCAAGAGACCCGCCTTGGTCTCAGCAGGATGGGGCCACACTCATACCACTATAGGCCCATGTCAGTTGCTCCCTTAGGAGCTCTCCCACCATGGGGACCCATTCTAAAGTCGGACTTTGTGCATCAGTGACTTCAGATTTTCATAGCCTTTGATTTCTGAACAAAAATGTACAATCTTCCCCGTACCTGGTCCTTTCTCCTAGGTTCTTTTAAAAAATATTTTGTTTTATTTTCTGTGTCTGAGTGTTTACCTGAGTATGGATATATGCACCACGTGTGTGCCTGGTGCCCGTGGAGGTCAGAAGAGGGCATTAGATTCCCTGGAACTGAAGCTACTTATGGTTGTGAGCTACCATAAGGGTGCTGAGAACTGAACCCACGTCCTCTGCAAGGGCAGTCAGTACTCTCGACTGCTGAGCCCTCTCCCATCCCCACTCCCCGGTCCAGGTTCTTATTACCTCGGCTTCTGGGACCACAAACTCTTTTTTCCACACCCTGCTGTCCAAAACTCACATGCCCTACTGTGCTTCTGTGGAAACCAGGCAGAGAAGCACAGGGCTAGCTCAGTCTGGATCCCCTTTGGCTCAGGTTATGCATGGAGCCTAGTTCCTTCACCTCACACACCCCTTTCCAAACAGTGCACCTAGCAACCTCAGAATCCTTGACCCCCCACCTGCACTGGATTATACGTACTCCCATCTTTCCACATTATGAGTTTTCTTACCACAGGTAACAACCAAATTTATACAATTTCTCTTCAAGTATACATCTAATAAATCTGGTTATAAAGAACAGAAGAGGGCCTATCTGATCTGAACCCGTTTGGGATATATGTACAATAATATAAAATTGCATCCTCTAGTAGCCTTTGGGGAGAACCCCCTATTTACCATCTTATGCCTATTAATTATGGGCGTGCACACAAAATAAAATCAGATGCATTATGGGAAGGGACACGTGCAGTGGGAAAAATGAATGTATGACCTAATCTATCAATCACAACAGGGAGACACCCAAACAATGCCCTCCGTAAGCAGCTCTTGCTTCTCTTGAACTCCATAAAAGGAACAATAATGAGCTGTCTTATACCCTCACTGAGTGATGGCTGTCAACCTTGCTCCCTCTATAACATGCACTAATCCTTTGCCTTGAATAAAAGTTCCCTTGCTTCTTCTGAAAACCTGTGTGAGCCCAAATTTTCACTTCTCTGGATAAGGCCGAAAACCTAGAAACACCGCGCCCGAACTCCAGCCATCAGTAACAGAGGCTGCCGCAGGAGCACCAGCCTGCAAGCCCTCGTAGGCTGAGCTCTCACGGACATTTTAAACATGGATCTGAGTTTGAATTGGTTCCCACTAAAGTTTCGAGGTTCTAGTGTCCTGGGACAAAGGACTGGACCATGGACACATGGTTAGAAATAGAAATGGGAAATATTCTTAAGGAAGAGAAAGCACTCTGTGAACAGGAGTGGGCTGGCGAGCTGGGGAAAAGGCATCCACTCAAAGCTCCTCTCTCTATAGGTCATTCCCATGGCACCGCCTCTGCCACGCTTGCGTAAGGCAGACTTTTCCTGAGCGTGCTCTTTGTTCCCCAGATGGGGAAGGGCTTCCAGGTTCTCTCTGTCAACTGGCTTCTTCTATTTGTTAGTCACAATGTCTCTTCTCTCCGGTCTCTACTCTCTGGTCACACAGGCACTGTGATCCACCTGTGGTCACCCTTTGCTGGCTGCACTGTGACTCTGTAGTCTGCCACCTCCAGCCTTCAGTGTATGTGCTGACTGTGCCCTGCCTGGCTTCCTCCAGTGGAATCTCACTCTGCTAACTAGACCTCAACATCCCCCTTCCCACGTTCACACACACCCTCAATGTCAGAACATTGGTCAGGTTTCTCCCAGAACTACTTCTGAGCCCATCTTGGGAGGGAAATTTGTTCACTCTGAAAGTTTGCCTCCACTTCACTTCCACTCAAATGTCCCTTCTGTTCTACCTCAGGACGATCAGTCCCAGTCCCTTGTAACTCCACAAGATCTGTAAAGTCTCCTCATGGTGAAGCCCACCCAATGCTCCCCTGGACCCCAGGTCCATTCTCCATTATCTCTGTTCTCACTCTTCTTATTTACAAGCTTTGACTGTCAGCTGCACAGACTCGGATTCTGCAACTTAGTCTGTGGTCTCTCTGCCCACACCAGAGGCTGCTCTTGTCAACTTGAATGAACCGGGAATCAAGTGAGACAAACCTCTGGGCAGGTCAGCCAGGGCACTTCCAGGCAGGATGAACTGGGCAGAGAACTGGACAGTCCTAGAGTGGATGTGGCCACCCAGAGGCGATTTGGGTCTGTAGAGGTCTGGGGCAGCCACGCTCCCTGTCTGCCTTCGCTTTTGCTGCTGAGTGCCTCCCTCCCACTTGGTTGCTGTGCCGTGGAGACCATCTTTTGCTGCCATGAGAAACCAGTTTCTTTATTCTTCCTACACGGATTCACGGACTGAAGAGCAGTCTCTAGGAATCATCGGGCCCCCCTTCAGTTGGGACGGGGCAGCTGAGCTATCTGGCTCAATGGACTGAGCAACCACTGTGTGCTGAGCCTCTCCTGTGTGCACACAGTGATTGTTGGACTAACCAGCCCCCACTTGGAGAGGAGTTTCAGAGGGGACAGAGGAAACACTGAGTCCTCCTTCTGATCCCTCCAAGGGCCCCATGGTATGGGCTCTCCAGGGTCAACTTTCCATTCTTTTCCTCAACCACTATAGGGGGGTCAGGTATTTCACATGGCCTCTCTCAGGCTGGCTTGGTTTTTCTGTCTGCTTTGTATTTGCATATGCAAAAAGATCAGAGACCATTCTCACATGCATGCATTTTCAAAGACTGAGCCAGAAAGAAAATCCCTTTAGGCATTAAAAAAAAACCCCACATTCTTAGGTGCTAAAAACATTGATGGGTCATAAGCATAAATAACTTTGAAAAAGCTGCCTTCTTGGAACAGATCTGAACAATTTGTCCAGTCACTGTATGTCAAAAAATTTATGTATGAACAAGCATTTCCTGGAAATGCATTAACCAATAGTATCATCTCTGGTAGCTTAAGTGATAAAAGACAGAGATGAAAAACATGGAGTGTGCTTCTCCAGAGTACATTTGTACCTTGAGGGTGGACATCAATTTGCCTCCCATAAATCATGCTGTTTCCCAGCCAGTTTACACCAGTATCTTGTTCCTGTGCCTGGTCCCTCCAAGCTTGACTCTACCAGTCATGATTTTCCTACCTCCTCATTCTCATACCCTTCTCACTTCAACAGGGGAAAAGGCAAGTCTTCAAGAGCTCAGGCATCTGTAGGACTTTCTCCTACCCTCCCCACCCCACCCCTGCCACCACCAGGTTCCCTCCCCTGTCTGCAGTTGCTCGACTGACTTCTGCAGAGTAGAAGGTTTTAATATCCCTCTTCTTCTTTACAAATTAACACGGAAATTCTGCTGACGAGCCTTCCCCTTTCCAGGGTTTAAATCCCAGGACTCTTGAGCTGTGACAATTTAAATGAACAAGATTTAAAAAAACTGATGAATGAGGTTTATAATGTTTTACAGGAGCACACAGGGAAATCCTCCTTCAAGACTTGTGTAGGACAAAATGGTGGGTGGACAGAGGCCTGTGTGCCTGTGTGCCTGTGTGCATGTGGACCTGTGTGTGTGTGTGTGTGTGTGTGTGTGTGTGTGTGTGTGTGTGTGTGTGTGTGTGTGGTGGAGGGAGGGGTTCCATGAAGGATAATTATGAGCCATCAGATCTGGGAAACCTTTTAGTGTGTGGCGGTTAATCTTGATTCTCAACTTGACAAAATTTAGAATTATTATGGCTGTGTTTGTGAGGAGTTTTCTAGATTAGGTTAATTGAGGTGGGAAGATTTGCTCTAAATGTGGGCGGCACCATGCCATGGGCTGGGGTCCTGGACTGAGGAAAAAAGGAGAAAATGAGCCGAGTATGAACACTCCTCTTTCCCCGCTTCCTGACAGGTGCCCTGTGACCTCCCCACCCTGATGAATTGTGCTCTGGTCTCCTTTCTGCTGCCACCATGATAAAACACCAGGAACAAACGCTGCAGTGGAGAAAAGGCCTACTCCATCCTCAAGTCACAGCCCGCCATCAAGGGACGCCAAGGCGGGAACTCGAGGTGTGGTCTTGAAGCTTTCCAGCTCTCACATGGGCTCATGCTTCTGTAGCTTTCTTACACAGCTCAGGACCACCTGCCTAGGAATGATGCCACCCACAGGGGACTAGGCCTTCTTTTATTAATTATAATCCAGGCGATTTCTCTCTTGTGTGTTCACAGGCCAATCTGATCTAAGCAGTTGCTTAATTGAGGCTTTCCTCTTAGATAATGCCAGACTGTGTTAGGTTGACATTACAGCTGTCTGGGACAGACTCACACTGTCAGCTTATGTGAACCTTTCCCCCTTATGTAGTTCCCGTCAGGTGTTTAGTCACAGTGACTGGAAAGTGACTCACATAGGGAGCCATCCTCATCAAGCGCCTCAGAGAGACAGCTGAAGCAGAGTTGGACATGGCTGTCACTTGGCCATGGCCACAGTGTCAAGTGTAATTTGGGCCTCCAAAAATCCAAATCTTAGGTCTTTATTATTGCTAAGGAAGTGTGGTTCAGGCTGAGAATGATCAGTGACCAGAGAGACTGAACTCACTCCCTGGGGAAGGCGCTATGAGGTGTCACAACACAAGTCTGTTTAACACACAAGTGTGTTCAAATGATAACTTTTGGGTAACTTTGGGAGACAGAGACAGGATGCCTGGGGCTCCCTCACTGACTGTCAGTGTGTCCCAGATCCAGTGAACAACCCTTCTCTCTGGCCTCTGTGTGCACATGCACAGGCTTATGCACTTTCACAGACATGTGCTTATACACCACACACATATCACCCTCCCAAATAAAATAAAGAATGTAAGAAACCTAAAAAATAAAAAAGTCTAATTGGCCAAATGAATAAAAATATATGACTCGGCCTCACACTGTCACCAAGCAACCTACTTCAAGTAGAGTAAAAGAAGTAAAATTAAAAAGAGTTGAAAACGATAGGCGATGCACAAGGTACTCAAATGAAAGCAGAAAAGATGTACTAATTCTAGAGAAAGCAGACCTCAGAGCACAGACCTCAGGGCTAGATGGGAGGACCCAGTAACGATAAAAGGGCCAACCTAACAGAGAGATGATAGGACTCTCAGTGTGTGTGGAGTAAAGAAAACAGAGCAGCTGAAAAATAAGTAAAGCCTGATAGGACCAACAGGAGTAGACAGATTCATATTCACTAGACATCTGATTCAACAGCTGACAGAATAGCCAGCCTTAAGCAGAAGCAAGCAATAGCCATGCTGCAGGGATGGATGGATGTGTGTGCATGTGTGCACATGTGCAAGTGTGCATGTGTGTGTCTGAATTACTCTATTGACAAGAGGGAAGGCATTCTTGTGTGCCCACAGAACATGTGCCAGGATAGAGCATACACTACGCTGTAAAGAAGACCTCCACACATCTGAAGAGCTGACGTCACATGAGAACTCAGAAGCAGGAGATCAGATGAAATCTCCCAGTGCTTGGAGCTCAAACAACATACTGACAGAGAACCCAAGAGGAATTCTCAAGGCAAATACCCAAATCTAGGGTGGATCTGAAAGACATGCTTAGCAGCTAAAATTACAATAGAAAAGAGGAAAAGTCTCAAATCAATAGTGTGAGCTCCCATCTGAAGAAGCAGGAGAAAATAAGAGCAAAACAAGCAGTAAGTGGAGGGAAAGAAACAGCAGAGGGAAATGGAAGGAAGGAAAGGAACAGCAGAGGGGAATGGAAGGAAGGAACAGCAGAGGGAAATGGAGGGAAGGAAGGAACAGCAGAGGGAAATGGAGGGAAAGGAACAGCAGAGGGAAATGGAGGGAAGGAAAGGAACAGCAGAGGGGAATGGAAGGAAGGAAGGAACAGCAGAGGGAAATGGAGGGAAGGAAGGAACAGCAGAGGGAAATGGAGGGAAGGAAGGAACAGCAGAGGGGAATGGAGGGAAGGAAGGAACAGCAGAGGGAAATGGAGGGAAAGGAACAGCAGAGGGAAATGGAAGGAAGGAAGGAACAGCAGAGGGAAATGGAGGGAAGGAAAGAAACAGCAGAGGGAAATGGAAGGAAGGAAGGAACAGCAGAGGGAAATGGAGGGAAGGAAGGAACAGCAGAGGGAAATGGAGGGAAGGAAGGAACAGCAGAGGGGAATGGAGGGAAGGAAGGAACAGCAGAGGGAAATGGAGGGAAAGGAACAGCAGAGGGAAATGGAAGGAAGGAAGGAACAGCAGAGGGAAATGGAGAGAAGGAAGGAACAGCAGAGGGGAATGGAGGGAAGGAAGGAACAGCAGAGGGAAATGGAGGGAAGGAAGGAACAGCAGAGGGGAATGGAGGGAAGGAAGGAACAGCAGAGGGGAATGGAGGGAAAGGAACAGCAGAGGGGAATGGAAGGAAGGAACAGCAGAGGGGAATGGAGGGAAGGAAGGAACAGCAGAGGGGAATGGAGGGAAGGAAGGAGCAGCAGAGGGAAATGGAGGAAAGGAACAGCAGAGGGAAATGGAGGGAAGGAAGGAACAGAAGAGGGGAATGGAGGGAAGGAAGGAACAGCAGAGGGAAATGGAGGGAAAGGCACAGCAGAGGGAAATGGAGGGAAAGGAACAGCAGAGGGGAATGGAAGGAAGGAACAGCAGAGGGAAATGGAGGGAAGGAACAGCAGAGGGAAATGGAGGGAAGGAAAGGAACAGCAGAGGGGAATGGAGGGAAGGAAGGAACAGCAGAGGGGAATGGAGGGAAGGAAGGCACAGCAGAGGGGAATGGAGGGAAGGCACAGCAGAGGGGAATGGAGGGAAGGAACAGCAGAGGGAAATGGAGGGAAGGAACAGCAGAGGGAAATGGAGGGAAGGAAAGGAACAGCAGAGGGGAATGGAGGGAAGGAAGGAACAGCAGAGGGGAATGGAGGGAAGGAAGGCACAGCAGAGGGGAATGGAGGGAAGGAAGGCACAGCAGAGGGGAATGGAGGGAAGGCACAGCAGAGGGGAATGGAGGGAAGGAACAGCAGAGGGAAATGGAGGGAAGGAAGGCACAGCAGAGGGAAATGGAGGGAAGGAAGGAACAGCAGAGGGAAATGGAGGGAAGGAACAGCAGAGGGAAATGGAGGGAAGGAACAGCAGAGGGAAATGGAGGGAAGGAACAGCAGAGGGAAATGGAGGGAAGGAACAGCAGAGGGAAATGGAGGGAAGGAACAGCAGAGGGGAATGGAGGGAAGGAAGGAACAGCAGAGGGAAATGGAGGGAAGGAAAGGAACAGCAGAGGGGAATGGAGGGAAGGAACAGCAGAGGGAAATGGAGGGAAGGAACAGCAGAGGGGAATGGAGGGAAGGAAGGAACAGCAGAGGGAAATGGAGGGAAGGAAAGGAACAGCAGAGGGGAATGGAGGGAAGGAAGGAACAGCAGAGGGGAATGGAGGGAAGGAAGGAACAGCAGAGGGAAATGGAGGGAAGGAAGGCACAGCAGAGGGAAATGGAGGGAAGGAACAGCAGAGGGGAATGGAGGGAAGGAAGGCACAGCAGAGGGGAATGGAAGGAAGGAACAGCAGAGGGGAATGGAGGGAAAGGAACAGCAGAGGGAAATGGAGGGAAGGAAGGAACAGCAGAGGGGAATGGAGGGAAGGAAGGAACAGCAGAGGGGAATGGAGGGAAGGAAGGAACAGCAGAGGGAAATGGAGGGAAGGAAGGCACAGCAGAGGGAAATGGAGGGAAGGAAGGCACAGCAGAGGGAAATGGAGGGAAGGAACAGCAGAGGGGAATGGAGGGAAGGAAGGCACAGCAGAGGGGAATGGAAGGAAGGAACAGCAGAGGGGAATGGAGGGAAAGGAACAGCAGAGGGAAATGGAGGGAAGGAAGGAACAGCAGAGGGGAATGGAGGGAAGGAAGGAACAGCAGAGGGGAATGGAGGGAAGGAAGGAACAGCAGAGGGGAATGGAGGGAAAGGAACAGCAGAGGGAAATGGAGGGAAGGAAGGCACAGCAGAGGGAAATGGAGGGAAGGAAGGCACAGCAGAGGGAAATGGAGGGAAGGAACAGCAGAGGGAAATGGAGGGAAGGAACAGCAGAGGGGAATGGAGGGAAGGAACAGCAGAGGGAAATGGAGGGAAAGGAACAGCAGAGGGGAATGGAGGGAAGGAACAGCAGAGGGAAATGGAAGGAAGGAACAGCAGAGGGGAATGGAAGGAAGGAACAGCAGAGGGGAATGGAAGGAAGGAACAGCAGAGGGGAATGGAAGGAAGGAACAGCAGAGGGGAATGGAGGGAAGGAAGGAACAGCAGAGGGGAATGGAAGGAAGGAACAGCAGAGGGGAATGGAGGGAAGGAAGGAACAGCAGAGGGGAATGGAGGGAAGGAAGGAACAGCAGAGGGGAATGGAGGGAAGGAAGGAACAGCAGAGGGGAATGGAGGGAAGGAAGGCACAGCAGAGAGAAAGCGGAGATCAGTGAAGCTGAAAGGGGAAAGCAGAGGGGAGACACGGAAATAAAAGTTACATTTTAAGAGATTAATACAATTGACCAACTTCTAACAAGACTGACAAGGAAATCCAGAGAACACGGATGGCCAGTAACAGGACGAACTGGCAGCTGTCGGATCCTGCACACAGCAGCATGATGACGCGAGGGTTTTGTGGATGATTCTCCACTTTGGTTAAGTAACCTACTCATTTTCAAATGTCCTTAATATGAAATCAGTGATTTGAATAGGCCTATGATTACAAAGAAAATGAGTTCATAAGCTAAAATTCTTGAAAAATGTTGCCCGTGGTGGTGCACATCTTTGATTCTAGCACTCAGGAGGCAGAAGCTGGAGGATCTCCATGAATTGGGGGCTACATAGCCAGTTCCAGGTCACTCAGGGCTATATAGTGAAACTGTTCCAACCACCCCACTAGCCATCATCCCCTCACCATACCCCAATCACCACCACCACCACCACCACCATCACCACCACCACCACCACCATACCCCAAACCACCACCACCACCACCACCATCACCACCACTACCATACCCCAATCAGCAGCAGCAGCAGCAGCATCACCACCACCACCATCACCACCACCACCATACCTCAGT